AGAGACTGTCTGCAAGAATCGGTATGTTTAGCATATTAATCTAATACAAAAGCGATGGATCTTTCATATAATTTCTTTGAAAGAAGCCTTCTACAACCGTTAAAAAGAATCTAAACTAACAAAATGATGAAAAAAACATTTGAATAATTTTTAACTTAGAAAATAAAAAGAAATAAAATATTTATCCTTTTTCAACATTATACGAAAGATTTTGATAATCGTTCTTTTATAAATTATTAAGTTTTTCAACATTTTATTGAATATAAAAGGCTAAGTCATAGAAATGATGACTGTTTGAACGGATATATGAGTGAATGTTTGAGGTACCTGGTTTGACTCGATTTCTGTCGTTGTCCTGGGTGTAACCTTGCGATCACTTTGAATAAGATTAAACAGCTGATCAATGACTTTGTCATGATTACCATCGTTTTTCTGAATGTTTAATTATAATCTTTGCTCTTAAAATATAGCTTCCATTATTAAGTAAACGTTTTTAAAAATTTGGAACATCATAATAAATTTTCATTATTTCTGTTGCGTATTATCGACTAAAGAGAAACCGGTCAGGTCAAACCGATCGGTCGATAACGCGTACCTCGAATGACTTAACGTTCAAGGTGGAGGAGATGAAATAACTCGAGTGTTAGATTTAGAAGGCACTTTATTTATATTAGTTGTAGCACTTAACCTTAGTCTTCGTTGCTTGTAGTTGAACGAAGTTGGGATCTTGTCGTCCTGTGTGTATTCTTCGTTGCGTATAGTTGAACTACCGCGTGCCCTTCCGGCTGGTCCTCGCCTGGGTTCTTCCTGGCCTCGAGTCATTACGTTTACTGCCCTGGGAGAACCGGTAATTCGGAATTTTCTAATGAGGGAAATGGGCCTGTCCGTGCCATAAACGGACGGCCAACTAAAATTCCGAACAATTTCTTTTTAAAAAAAATTTGCGAATATTATTAAAACATAGTTAAACACATTTGTAGACTGTTAGTGGAAAGAGTTGTGCAGGTTGGTTAAAAAGAAATTTCAGAAAGAGTTTAGAAAATTCATCTTACAATGGAATTTAGGATTCAAAGAGTTTTGGTTGCAATTAATTACGTACTCTGTATCGTGCTACCATATTTCAATATGTGTCGCGAAAAGACCCTTGGTACTTTTGTTTGGAGGAATAAATGTCAAAAGCTTCAATATATTATATTGTCCTTATCGAGCAAGCAACTTGCCTTATATTCTCTTCGTTTATAGCAGTAATACGATTTTACTAATTTCCTTATGCTAATTTCTTAAATTACTTTCTTGGAATTGTAAAATTGTAAACGACGCTGAGTGTTTATTCTCTGTAATTAACAATTATATGGCGTTGGGAATATAGGATTCCGCTACCCTTTTACGATATCATTTTGTTTCCTCGTAACGAGGAGAGTTTTATTTGATCATTAAATATTTCATTCCAAGCCTCAGATATTTCAAACGAAAAAATTGTATGTTACATATTTTTTTTTAAGAAAAAAAATTAAGAATTAAAGGAATTTTAGCTTCTTAAGAATTTCATTCCGATTCATTTCCATGAAAAGCGAAAATTGCTGTTATTCGAGTGCAGAATAAAGGATCAGAAATAGAAGTAAGACTCGAAATAGTCGTGAAGAAAAATTTGCTGGAAAAGCCCAAGGGGACATATAATTGCTTTTTATTGTATTTTATTATGGATATACAATTAGCTCGTAGTTTAAAGATTCTTTATTATTTTCTATTCGTTTTTTTTATTCGTATATAGTATAAAATATTTGTCAATCTATTTTATAAAAATGTAAAATAGAATCTTCAATGGTAAAGCTTTATTTCCAAAATAATCGCATTGTTATGTTTACATAGGAGTTTGAGATTTAGAAAAATTATTTTCTAAATACTTCTGGTTACATTTTTATATCTAAATTGAAGCTAAAATAGCAGTATCTGTTAATAAGAGTACATTATTTCTAAACGAATCTTAAAGAAGTTTCAATCTATAATTGACATTTTCGTCAATTAAAAAAGATGATTTTAATTAATTTATATTATATATTAGTAACCTCTTGCTCCACGAAAAATGTCCAATACATAGCAAAATTTCGTAATAGTACCCACGAAACATCGATCATCAGTTTCCCTTTTCATGAATGAAAACGAGCCGTCGAAATTTTAAAAACGATTCCACAAGTTTTTGCTTCGATAATTCCACTTTTGTCGTACTAACAAAATTCTATTAGAAAAATGAATTTAGAGCTTTATATTTCATTATTTATTAAAAGCAAAGGCTTACAAAGTGATTTTTAACTTAGCAAAATTAGATATTTCGAGTTCCTCTCCGGAGGAACAATTCATTTTTGCATTCAAGATTTTGTGTTAAAATACTCTTTTAGAAATGTTATATCGGAAATGTTAGATTGGAAAAATTAAACATGACATAAATATATAAAAATGGTTAAATCAACTATGAAATTATAAATAAAATTATGACATTACAATACTATATTATAATACATTATAAAACCCACTGAAAGAAAATTTTGCATAAAGATTTTTCATTACTTCTCGCATACAGACTAACGATAGAAAATGTATATTGCTTTTACAAATCAAACGCGAAAACATCCTTTCAAATGCACTACTTGAAGTTCTACAGAAAACTATACCATATACAATTTAGATATTACGTTGCTAGTGAGAGAACACTCTGTATTTACTTTACGCTCTTTCAACCGTTATTGTTAACTGAAACCTTAAAATATAAATATCATATTTCCAACAACAATAAGGTACATTTTGCACGTTTTGATTTTAAATTTGTTATCACTTGATCGATCGAAGGTAAGATATTTCATACCTACTATACATACGAGGTATAACATTCTTTTCTATGTTCCTTATTTTAAATAAATGTTCAAAAACGTGTTGACATGCGTTTTTACTTTGTTCCATACATTTGTTTTCAGATACCATATATTACTCCCATTTCAGATTAATGAATTTATGCTCCCAGTTTATTCCTCGAAATATGTCATACTATATTCCTATGCCATTCTACGAATTTGATAACAAGATTTCATAGAATTTCTGCACTACTATCATAGTTTAATATTAGAATATAAATTTAGAATGATTTGTTTATTACAATAATTTCATCTTACAGAATACTGATTTCGGTTGTTACAACTTTTCAGGAAGTAATGGTAAAATAATTTAATTTTGAAATAATCAATACTTCACTGTCTCGATGGCGATTATAATTTTTCGATAAATTCGATTGATATCTTCTGCCATCCTGTTTCTGGTATTTTGAAAGCTGATTTCCGTTTCCGGTTTCCTTCCCTTTCCTTATTTGTTCCAAGTAATTCCATCCATATTTTATACTCTCCAAATCTATATCCTATTTAGTGCGGACTTCTATGATATCGTTTCACTTGAGTGAAATCCATTTGTTAATTTTCTCGAAAGAAAATCTTTCTATTTAATTTAAGTAATAACTACATATAACGCGAAAGTAATTTACTTGTTATCTGCCCTAGATTGTTTCCATTAATATCTGTTAAAACGTTGTTACTTCTTGCTCTTTCTCATGATTCATACTCTATTGAGAAATCGTCAAACTATGAATTTTTGCAACCAATGTTTAATTTTCTTGGTATTTGGAAAACTTTCTTCAAAATGCTAGTGGAGGAATCACGTTTACGTTTCCAGTAATTTCTTCGACATTTCAACAAATGTAATTGGTACACTCAATCAGGAGCTTCTTTTATATGTAAAAATAAATTGGAAAGAAAGTGTAACATTTTTTCGCTTGAGATCTTGTTTTTGAGAAAACAAGGATGGATGTATATAAGTTTAGATCACTAAAAGATCGGGACTAAGAATTAAATACTTCGATATAAAGAGATGCTGCGAATAAAAATATTCGAAAAGACAAAAATTGTTCAGAATTACGTACACTCGTGGGCGTGCTTGGTTCGTTGACAAAACAATGAAACGCGGACTCTAAATGAATTTACTTTGAATATCGTTGATACTGTGGGTAATATCGCCATCTTTTGTCATGATTTTCACAGATAGTAGAGGGTCTCTAATTCAGTCGTATCATGTTTCTTGTGTAAACCACTTAAACCTACGGTTTATTTGTGCTTTATCCGTATCTCAGATATTGACTTCCTTTTATACGGGGTTCTTTTGCAGTTGAGTAACAAACCGTAATTTTAAAATAGTACAAGACTTACCAAACGTTCGTTCGAAAAAGCTAGAATCACATTTTCAAATATGTCATATAAATATTTTAAGTATTTGAGTCTTTGAGATTTATTAAAGCAAACTGATTATAGAAGCATCGCAAGACAATCGCATTAATCCAACGTTTAGCTTTAATGAATTAATTGATTTTATACTCTTCGAATTAATATGTACAGAGTTTTGCAAGAACCCGATAGTCGAGACGGAAAGACATCGGGTCAGGTCGGGTCGGGTCGGGTCGGATCGGATCGGATCGGATCGAGTCGGGCCGGGTCGAGTCGCGTTCCTGAGAATTTCCTGGTTTCCCGCGAATTTCCAAGTTTCCCAAGAATGTCCGGGTTTTCCGACGGTGTCTGAGTTTCTCGGAAATTTTAGGGAAGTCCGAACGATCATTTACGAGAATCCCGAAACTTTCGGGAATCCGTTCTGGCTCCTAAAAGATTCTCGTCGTACCGACCTAGTATTTTCGGGTTCTCACACACCTCTAGTCTATAAATGTTCGAAGGCAGGATTATAAATAAATATAAAGATAATATAAATGGAATTAAAAAAATAATATATGCGAAACATTAATAACCAAAACAAAAGTAATAATAGCAACTAAGTATTATCAGATGATAGGATATGGCAAGCGTCTAGACATATTCATTCAACTAGAAAAAAATAGAAAGGAAGGAAAAAGAAAAGAAAGAGATCACTCTCTCCTGTAAGAATAACTTCAATCTAATGAAATTGTTTTCTTTCAGGTCGGTATGTAGGCTCACGTCCCATAAAGCTACGGAAGAGTTCATGGAAACAACGGAATTTAGAGACAGTACGGAAAAAAGAGAAAGAGAAGCAAGCTTTAATTGGCTTGTTAACCGGGCGGTGACGTGATAAAGAACCTTTGTTCTTTTTCTCGTTCATATTTATTTAATCGGATTCTACACTGACTCACTGTTGTTGCTTTTATTCAAACAATTGTCGAGACGTCTGTACATAAAGTATATTTACGAAAGCTTGACAACTGGCGCCAATGGATACGTTTTTTAAGAATTCTATTTCACAGGAGTAAAAATGTCTACGATCGAGTACTATGTTACATCGTGATTGACTACCATGTAGTATATAAAAATTGCATGTAGATGAACATGGAAATAAATTCTTACTACAAATGAATTGTTCATGTTACTTACTCAGTGATTTTGTTTATGTTTACAGTGATTATGTTTATATATTTGTTTATTTTTTGTCAATTCTTTTATTATTTTGTAAATATCAATATTGATTTAATAAATATGAATATGAATTGTTTAGATATTAAGGTATTTTATTGTAATATTGTTTTTATTTTTAAATATCTAACTGTAATTATTCAATGTAAAGTCGATTGTACAATATGTAAATTTTATTTTATATGTTTTGCTTCAATATTATTTATAGTTTACATACTTATCGACACAGAGTAAAACTCCTCGTAAACTATGGACTAACGTAACTACAGGGGAGAACATAGGAATTACATGCGTATCGACTCTTATAACTTACAATTAGTTATGACTATCGACTAACTTAATAAGATATCTTACAACGTCTTACGATGAATAACAATAATTCATTTATTATTCAATCATTACCTAAAATCACTATGAGAATTTTGTGCTTGAAATTTTTTTGCATAAGGGAAGGATGTATTTAGAGTCTCTATATGCAACAATCTCCACGTGATGAGATTAATTGGCAATTATTGTTATTGCAATTTATACATGTGATGAAGCAATTATTATTTGATATATGTATAATCTATAATTATATCATATAATGTAGTAGACCACAATTATAAATTATATCACTATGTGATGTAATCGTGACTTATATATCAAATGGTAAGAGCTAATTGTCTGTAATCACAATTATATTTTTATATAAGTAGAGAACTTATTAAGTTGTTCTGAAATGTGAGTCATTTGGTAAAACAGACTTTGTTATAAATTTACTATTCAATATTTTCACATTTATACATTTATTCATTTAAAAAAATTAATTGTTCACAAATGTTCTATAATAATTTCACGAATTATCGTTTACAAATCTCTCTTAAAAACTGAGCCAGCTTGTGATCCACGTTAGCGGATTTAAGTCTTCGTTCCAAGCTTTCAAAATCCACCCTTTCGAGCCACGTAGGTGGATCAATTTCTTTTGAAGGAAATGGGCAGAGTAAACGTTCGACTGCAGCACACAAACCGCACCAAGTTCTAAAATTTAACGGTTCCTTAATTTCACCAATCGTAAGATTTAAATATGCCTCTTGCTCTTGAGTTATAGGTTTTCCGATCATATCCTGAAGAGCTTCAAGAATAATGCTTGGCGAAATGCATTTAGTATTTCCCATCGTATCTTCTTGGAATTTGTTGAAAACTCTTCTGAAAATCAACTTTCTTCCCGAAGTGACAAAGACGTGTTTATTTAGATATCCCAATATTGTTAACCCTGACAAAGATTTACAAAAATTTTATTTAAATTATATAACATTATTTGCAAAATTACAAGAATTTAATTGTTTGAAATATCTGTATAGCGCAAGAATATTTGTATTTATATAAAAAAGTAATATACACGAAAGATACTAATTTCAATGTACTATGGGAATCTTTCAACTTTGTGTGGTAATGTGATGAGAACAGCTTGTTCAAAATCTATTTGCGCTTATTAATACTATAACTGTTTTCGGGAATAACTTTCACCAGGGCCGGAAACTTTGTTAAGAATTTACAAAACGCGAATTATCACTAAAAATCATATGACGTCACAGTAGCGTCATTAATCGTTATAGTGTTAAGATTAGCCCAATTTATTAAAAATTCAATGATTGTTTACCGTATAAACTTTCACTGCCGAGAATTTCAAAACGAGCTGCTTGGCGGGAAAATACGCGCGGTGTATCAACTAGCGCGGGGTTTGAAAATATTTGAGATCGTCTAGAGTGCGAATAATGTTCGCCTCTTACCCGCAGAGCTTCTTCGAATGCGATTTTTCTCTAAAATTAATATTAATTTCACAAAATCTTTTCCAAAATTACAAATTTTATATTTATTCGAATTACTAAATAATTTGTCACAAAATTTGCGAATCTTACCCTAACTGAGAACTCTGCTTCCACTTTGTCGCTGTCTAATTCTCTGCACAAATGCTTCAATATATTTGGATCAATGAAACTAGGAAATATCATAGAAGGCATGTTATCCGTTGCAGAGGTCTTCTTAGGGGTGGTTGCCAAATTCTCTACTTCCCCGCTGTTCGTATGAATCCTATCAGAAAAGAAAAATATAAATGAAATGTGTAAATAAAAAAAGTAGGAATTAAAATATTATAATAAAGAATCATTACTAACGATGTTCTCCTAGATGCATCGCCTATATGCGAGATTTGAGTATCAGTTGGTTCAAATAAATCACGAACTTCTGTTTGTTGTCCATAGCCTGATCCTCTTCTGCATTTCCCTTTACGTAATCGTCTTCCTCTTCTGCGAGTTACTGTAACTTCTTTAGTTGGCTTTTCAACTTTTTCTTCTTCCATGTGTTCACTGAAATTCTAACATAAATTCTTCGTTAACAATAGAATGTTATATCTTTCAACGTCATGGTCGAATTAATTTAATTCATGTGGAATTAATTTAATCGTAAATACCAATTCATCCTCTATATTTGTAAATGTATCTGTAATATCCCCTGGATTCGGTGTACGCGTCGTACGTTTTGAACTGGGTTTAGATACAAAAATTTCACTTTTTCGGTAAGTGGGCGGTGGTTCTAAAGTCAACGCGTGCCAAGAGAATGTTTCATTTTCCTATAAATAAAATTGATTTTAATCATTATAATTAGGAAAGATCTGTAATATTATTTTATTAAACTTCCTGATAAACTTAAGAAACACGACAAATTCTAAATATTTAATATAACTCTCTCTCTCTTTCTCTATCTTTAATAGTAGTAGGGTAAATTACGAACCATTTGCTTTCGTGAGTTGGTTCTAAGATCTAGAATTAATGTAATACGTTCACGTAGATCGCAGGTCACCGGATGTTCTTCCTGAATCGGTCGATTTGTCAAAGCAGGGCCGCTAGCGAGCGTGGGTGCGGGAGTCAAAGGTCTTGAATCAGTCTCGGTATATTTTCGAAACAGTTCCTCAGGTACAGTAGAAGCATCATTAGTCACTTCATTTCCCGTATTCCCACGTACATCGGTAGCACTGCATGTGGCTACCAAACTGGCTCTAATCATATCCATTTCTTCTGGTAATAATAAAGCCTTCCCTTCCGTTGCCTATAGTATACGAAAGGAAATTTGTATTACCTTACATTCCATTTTCAGTATCTTATTTAAAATATCACAAATTTAATATTTAATACATAGCTTCCTTAATGAATGCTTATTAAAAATGTAAATTTTACCCATGTATCTTTGGCACGTCTGAGAACTTCTTTTGCTTCACAATCTGCTGGGTGATTACACAATATAGAACATCCATAAGGATAAGGATTAAAAAGGCCAGAGAAAGGTCTAAGAATAAAAGGCGCTGGTTTCGTGAAACCTGTCAATTCCACGTGCTATAACAAATAAAATATTTATATTATTTAATCATCATTCTATACAATACGAAATACTGCAAAGCAATGCGATGAATTCATCGCTTAAATGGGGCAAAGGTAATGCAGAGGAAGTTTGAACTGAAAATATTTTGTTAATCAACCAGGAACGAATACATAAAGTACTTGGTATTTATTTAATTACACAGTGTACATATGAACACAAAAAGGTAATTATAAATCATTTTATTGTAGTCGGTTGTGAAATAGTGTGGAAATAGTTGCGATTTACTTACGTATAATCGTAAATTACAACTTTTCATTCAGATATGATCACAATTTAATTATAACAGATTTATCTAATTATAGTGCAATCATAACAAAGTGATATTATGGTTTTGCGACAGTTACGATCCATTCACGGTAATCCAACGTAATCGTGATTTACTATTAGTTTAGGCGCACGCTTGAAATACTACTGTAGTATCTTGATCTTATCATCAGATAATCGCATTGATATTTCATGTCATCGATATAAATTCAACTATAATTTTATATTTTCTCTAGAAGTTTATTCTAAGAAGTTTATTTTGATGTATGAAAGTATAACTATAATATCTTTTTGGAATTAAAAATAAAATAATTATTAAATACTAAATATATTCAATTATAATAATTATTATAATTATATAAATATTTAATGAAAAATAAAATATTTAATGAAATCAAAGTAAAATAACAAATGGATACTCTTCTTTCCGACTGTATCGTCGAGTAATTCATTCTTTTATTGCCGATTTTCTTCGATAAATACCTTTGGTTTAGGCCGATAGGTTGGTCGAATGCGTGCTTCTAAGAGGCCAGTTGCACTTGCGATTCCTGACATAATCCTGCATAAAATTATTGCTATTGTACTACGTAAGACAAGAACACTCATTAAGGCGCGAATAAATCAGTCGCTCGTTGTCTTGGAGGCACGTTGCTAACGTGAATTTGATGGTTCGATTATATGCAGCCAAAGAATTGAAGATGTTAGACTACTTCCTCGCCTTTACTACTTTGCCGATTGTCGTACAACAAAAAATAATTTTGTTACAAAGAAAGAAAGGAATCATATTAATAAATGAAATGTAATAAAGTCACATAGACGAAATTTTACATTTTATTGTCATAAATTGTATTCTCTGATTTTAAAGGAGAAGATAGATTAAAAAAAGGTATACTGTTGATATGCAATAAGAAATGTTTTTTCAACATGTCTGTGATATAATTTTTATTGATTAAACCAGGAACTGAATACAGAAAGTATTTAAAAGTTCGAATAACAATAAAGAAGTAAATACATAATTATATACTTTGTAAATAAAGATATCGTTAGTTCGCCAAATGATGGAAGAAGAAACCGATTTGAAGAATATTTAAAGTAATAATTACACAGGATATTTATAAATGTATTATGTTTATTTATCTTTTGTGCAATCTAATTAATGTTCTTAAATTTTAAGCATTTTCTCTAAATATGGATCATCTTGTTGGTGCCCTAGATATTTTTTCTTATACTTTAATCCAGTTACCAAAGTGGAACTCTTCGGGA